GTTTGGGGGTATGAAATTTGCTTTTGCTGTTGTCGCCATTCCTCTTCTTCTCTCGCTATCTCGTTTGCTCCCTTGTCTGAGTTGAGCTTATTTAAACATTCTGCTTATATATTATTTCTGTTGCGGGAAAACTCGGCCAGCTGACAGTCGACAAGGCAATGTGTCAACCCAAAAAGCCAAGAATGAAGCAGGCAAAACGAGGGAAAACAGCATAAAGAAGCAGCAAGACCAAAAAAAGAAAAACCAGATGAAAAACTGGGAGCTCGAGACGAGTCTGGACTAGGTTTTTCCTTATACCTGAAGTGGCGACCAAAAGTTGACGACTTCTTTTCAGTTAGCAGTGACTCCTGAAATTAGTTTGGGCTTAAATATGCAAACTTCCAAATGAAATGGAATGGAAATTGTACAAGAAGCAGGGGATGATAGAAAAGTTCGGGTCAAGAGGAAATTGTCTGGAAGAAATGTTCAACCAAAAGGAAATACATAAATTTATAAATGTGGATGGAGCAATGCTTTTCAATAGTTGAGGAAACTTTAAGGAAAACTCGACATTGTGGTAATTACCACAAAGAGAATATTAGTGCTCGATTTCTTATTGTCTTTTTGGTTTTTAGTGACTTAAATGCTTTTGAAAACTTAATCTTTGACCAATTTTTGCTTTATTATAATATATTAAATAAATAAATAAATGTTTAATATTAATAAGAAATTAAATAAAGAGTTTATTAGGGACTTATGCTCCATACTTGGAACATTTTTATTGGTTTTTAAGCAATAAACTTATCAAAACGAGACAGATGGTGAAAAGAAACCAAAGCTCCTTTATATCAAATAAATCTTTTAGATGTTTTTATAATACATCATTGATATATTATTAAATTTAACTCTCAAATTCACAGTTTTTGACTATGCAGACATTAATTGTTTTCCATCAATCTATCACCGCCCCATCATTTTTCTTGACTTTCGTTCTGCAGTTGACAACCAATTCCCTCACAAATCAACTACAATTCATCACCAACTGAATGACATAAAACCACACTGCTATATCCACTAGCTTCCGACGCGGCCGCATGCCCTTTTCCCTTCTGCGGAAAATGTTCCCTTGGAGCGAACTTTGGCCTGCATAATTAATGAATTTACACATGCATAATTATAATTACCAGCAGCCAGCAGCGACTAACTGCCAACTAACATTAGAAGAGGGATGAGCCAGAGGGGTCGGGGTGCTTAATGAAGTCGCAGTGCTCTGAGGAAACAACAATAACAAAAAACAACAAGAACAACTTCATCGAAAATTCAAACCAATTGGCAATTTGTGAGCCAGCGTTTGTACTCTGAAAACCCCCCAGCCCCTCTTTTTTGCAATGAGTCCTCCCTACGATTTGAACCATGTTAATTAGGTTTAGGAAGACCGGGTTTTAAAGGGCGTGTAACTGTATAAAGCTGCAGCGTATTTGTTAAAATAGGGCCCAGAAAAACAACAACGAAACAGCAGAAGCGGAAGGGATGCACTGAGGAAAATGTATCTACTTTTCAAACTGATTATGTTATATTATTTTTTTTATTATAAATATTATTTAAGTATGTATAAAATACGTTATTAAAATATCAAAGTTAATTTTATAACACTTTTAATTATATATTTCTTTTCGTGTAAAAACATCCGACTTAATCACGCCCTCTTCGCCCCGTTTTTGACCTAGCTTGATTACTGAATAATTGAGTGCTGCGTATAATGAAATTCGTATTCAAAATTCGTCGTCATTCAGTTGCTGCCGCTGAATCAGAATCTGACTAAATGTTTGTTGAGCCAAGGGGCTGTGGGTGGGGTTGATGGGTGTACAGAATTGGGTGGTAGGGGAAGTGACAGGAGGCGAGGCTTTCAGTGAGGTGAGTAAGTGCGTTTGTGTGTGCGTTCCTGTGTCTGTGTTTGGTTTGCGTAGCCGACTTGCATACGTAATGTTCTTTCTCCCGTTTACCAACTCCCCATCGCCTATGCCACCACCCCCCGCTTTGGTTCTGCCATCCCTCGCCATCATCATCGCAACATCATTCAACGCTTTTATAGCCATTCAACTTGACGCATCCGTTTTGGCCAAACTTTTTGGCCTGGGCCCCAGCTGAATGGGCCACGAGGCCATGAGCCAAGTTCCACGAGCTCCTACTGCTGCTGCCGCTAACGAGTGGGTGGTTTAAGAGATTGTTCAAAGCACTGGATATTCCAAGAAACTTAAAATTGCCAAAGCCAAGTTTTTAGATATATTTCTTATTTATTATGGTTATTATATTAAGTAAAGAAATTGGTATCTAAATTCCTCATTAACATTTTTCGTTTCATTTTGTTAGCATTTATATTTAACGAAGTTTAAATTACATTTTCCCTTAAACTAGTTTGACATAATCCGCTACTTTGTTTTACTTATGCAAATCCAAAATCTTCTCTATATTTTTATTAATTCTACAGACATCCTTAAGGCCAACCTCGCTGAGGGCTAAAAGGAAACTGCAGCTTGGAGCTTTGGGCAAGGGAATAGGAATAGGAGTGGGAACTAGAGCTGGAGCTTTTCCAGGAGCGAATCTACTGTTATACTGTAGATGTTACTGACTAACAAGTCGCATTCGCTTCATTATGTGGCCTCTCCTTCGTATTACCGCGTTTATGTCACTTTTCACTTTCTCACTCGTTGACTGTCTCTTTTTTCACCATCTGACCCTCTCTTTCACATTGCCAACGGCGGCGTGTCATTTCGCTTGGTTCATATAAATTGTTTTGGGATTTAGCCGCACGATTTTCCTGCCTTACCAGCCGGAGCCACTCCTCCTCCGGCCAACAGTTCCCTTTGCCAATCCCCAGACTCGGCTCACAGCTCCGGCTCATTATTGTCGTCGGTTCGTTTCTGTTCTTTGTTTAATGACATCATTTTGTATGAAAAATTGTAGTTGCATACAGAGTGGAATACGAAAGAAGGGGAGCTAGGGAGGAGGATAGGGTCGGGTGAGCCCTGACAAAATTATAAAGTTGAGCAATGATTAATGTCCGTACTCCTTCCCTTCGCTTCCTATCACGCATATATCGCCTGCGTAATAATCCTTGTCATGAAATATTTCGGCAGGGACATGAACATGGCTTTATAAAATTAAAAACGAAAAAGAATAAAGAGGGAGCCACGACAGACAAAGTTCTTTAATTTTTATATTCTTTGCTTTGTGTCAAATGCGGGAGTCACGTTTCTCAAAGGAAAATGTATGAAAAGCGAAAGAAAATGACAGCATTGCGTTGGGGGAATCACAAATTGAATGTGTTGACGACATTGAAAGAAACGAGAAGCTAAACATGTTAACACAACGTTGGCTACATTTCCGAGTGAGTAATTTTTGGGAAAACCAATGAAGCGATAAGAAATCAAAGAAGTCATTAAAATTACTTTATTTAGGCTTTATTAATTAAAAGCAATGACTTTTTGTAAAAAGGTATGGGTATTTTAAATAAACTCAAATTCCTTAGTTTATGTGAAGAAATAACTAAGATGACTAGACTAGACTTCCATCCTAAACAGCAGACACAAAGTAGCACTTACTAAAACTATCCCTTAACCTTCCTTCCATTTTCCAGCTTCCCATTTCCATTGCAATAAATCCCTAATCTTGATTGCCGTGGTAAGCACGTTTTAAACCTCTTTCATGGTTATATTCTTACACTCTCTAATAAATATATGAATCCCAAGTCATTAACAAAATGGTGATGAGGATGATGACGAGGTAAGGTTCTAACCGCACCCAACTTATACGAGCATCCTTTCCCATATCAACCATTCCTCAAAGTTGAGTAACAATAAAACTGAATAATCCCTATCCGACCTGAAAATTCTTTAGTTTCCGCTCTGTAAAATCACGGTCATACATTAAACAGGACTCTTGGCCAATATTTGCTTAGAGGCGGGCCAACAGGGTGCCGCGTGCATTGTGTGCACATTAAATACCGCATAAATTAAATTAATTGCTAAAGTTTATTTTTTATTACTTTACATAGGCTAAAAGAGAGAGAGAGAGATGGAGAGAGAGTAAGGCGGAGAGTGTGTAATCACTTTTCATTGTGTACCAATCTCGGCACAGTCTCGGCGAAAACTTTTCAACACTTAGCTATGCAAAGGAAGGGAATTGCTTCGAGGGAGGCCAATGTGGCATCTTGCGGTAGCACATTTAAAATTTAAATAGCTTCAAAATGAGCATTCGCCTTTATAACAGCCTATTGTAACCCTCCAGCCAACCATTTCACCTCCCTACTAATGAGTGGCAACCCTAACGGCAACCGCAAGCATGTAACGGTAAAATACAAATGTCAAACTCTGCAGCAGCTGTCAGTCGTCCCAAGTTATAATGATGGGTTCATGCGGAGGACATATCCTTTTTAAAATCTTTTACAGAACTTTCTTTAATTTAACAGAGAAGGAAAAGTTAAATGGGGAAACTCTGGAATTAAATTCACTTCAAGCTAAAAGATTCTTTTTAAAAAAAGATTTCATGAAATTCACCGCATAACCGTTCTATACACATAGTGTTTTGCTTTCTCCGAAATTTTCATGCAAAAGTAAAATTTCCCCAGTCTGCATTCGAATTAATTGTTCCCCTGGTGAAATGAGGGCGAAAAACTGGGACAGAGGGAGTTCAGTTAACAAACATCTAACTGTCTTTTTGGCAACTTTACTCTCCCACTGGGTGCAATTAAAAATTATGTTTATATTTATATTCCACTCCCTTCTCGGCCAACCATTCTTCTAGAATGACACTCGAAAAAAGGCAAATAAACCAACTATGGAAGGGAAACGGAAATGAAAATGCAAAATGGACGTCAATGCTGACAGCTGACATGGCGGGAGGTTTGTTTTCCTTCGGGTTACAGTAAGCCAACGAAGGATTGTATACGATTTATAAATATCCGCTTGTAAGGGTACCCTTAATTGGTAAAGAAATGGAATAAAATTTTATAACTGGCTTACCTTTTGTGAAGTATTATGAAGCCAATTAAGTTTATACAACAATGATCCAGTCCATAGAAGCTGAAAGATGAAAATATAATTAATTTCATTTCATTCTATCAGATATATAGCTATAGTTTATAGGAAAACATTAAAATATTAATCCAATATTTAATAAGAGACATCCATAGAGTATATCCGCGTAGGCACTTAACCCTGGTTAAGCACTTAACCCCGTTGATTCCGATTCCCAATCAATGTCATTGTCAATCAGTAAATCAGTTAAAATCACATTACATAGCTTTTATACCAAATAATAACATAAAACTTCGGTTTCGGTTTAAAAAGAGGCCGTAAACTGTTAATTCTTAATGCTTTTGTTTTCATTTTTCATTTTGCTGCTTTCCAGCGAAAAATCGGTAACTACATGAAAAACCCATAAGCCCAGATCTCGATTCTCAGGTCCTGCTTTTGGTCCTCATCCCGCTTGCCCGGCTCAATCTTCATTGTTGCTATTGTTATTCCTGCTGGCCATTCCGCCGTATTTGGCCAGTGGAAGCGAGAGAGCCAACAGAGAGCAAATGAGACAGCAGATGCGGGACAGCGGCGACGACACCAATATGCATTTATACGAGGCATCGGCTGCAGATGCGAAAACATCAGCAAACAGAAAATAAAAAAACAGAAACAGAAACACTGCAGAAATAAAACAGAAAGCGAAATAAAAACAGAAAGAGATCTTGAAAAAAGACCGAAAACACAATGCGAATGTGTTTGGGTTGCGGGACTTACCAGGGTTTCGAGGGTTTCGGGGGGTTGCTTGCAATGGTTGAGGGAGGTGTGGGATGTCTACGGAGTTCTATAAGCTGCGCTCTATAACTCATATGGGCTTGTTATGTGCCATGTTATCGTCTTGTTGTTGTACGCATTTGTCTTGATACCCAACCCGTTTTTTATTGCCTTTTTCGGTTTTTAAATATGGAGGTTCGGTCAGGGTATTATTAAGGGTATACAAGTTTATATGATATATGAGTTTTAGTAAAAAACATGATTATTCTGGGATACAAGAAAGCTCGTAAAAGTTTTTAAGAAATATAGATTTTCTTTCATTTTATGGAATTAATACCAAATCTCTGCAAAAACAGTAGAAAATCTCTTTAGAAAACTTAATTGGAATTATAATTAATTGATAGAAATGAAGGTACAAAAGTACCATCTTTATTATGTTTATAAAACTTAATACGAAATTTTCTTGTTCATCGATAATGACTATCATCTCTTTGCATCTTCTTTTGATAAACGATCCAATGCCATCTAACGATCTACTACTGATCATCTCCTTCGTATAACAGGGCAATGTCCAGTCCATCTATGGTTCAGGTCCGCCTCCTTTTCAGAAGAGTGGGCGGCAGAGAAGAGGCGGAGGAGGACCAGAACGGCAGCGGAGCAGACAGGGAAAAATGCTGTTAAACAAGTTTCGGGTTTTTCAGTTCTTTTATTTTTTAACTCCAAGCCTGCAGCCTGACGAGTGCGTGCCTTATGCCTGGCATGGGAATGAGAATTGGTTTTAACGTTTTCTCTTCTTTTTTTCTGCCACTTTTTTACCATTTTACGTTTTTTTTTTTTTTGCAATTTTGTCTGGGAGCGAACAAAGTGCAGGGGCACTTAATAAGCAAAGTGTTTGCCCTGGAACACCAACAGAAACTCGTTTATGTAACACTCCCGGCAGCTTGTTCTGCCTTATCGATATTACTAAATTAAAAACTCTGAAAGCCAGTCAAATATAAATATACATTGTAGCTAAGAAAGATACAAACTTGTCATCAGCATAAGGAGGTGGTACAAGTTTTCCGCCCGAATTCAATTTAAAAGGCGACAACAAATTGAAGCTGCCCCCAAAGCGTCGCGAAAGTCGAACTGAAATCTGGAGGGTAGAATGAACTTCTCGCTCCAGAGATTGCTGACTTGGCTGGGTAAAGTTTTATGGCACACCGTTGCCCCCTGCCCTAGTGCTCCATAAATTATGTTACGTATACGCAACGTTGGCAAACGCATAAAGTATTCGCCTTATGAATATAAAAAGAAGTAAACGCAGTAAATTAGGCGAAAAATTCAATAATTTTGCCAACCAAATGGGGACAGCAAACACGATTCTGGGGCCGTGTAAACGCTCTGAGTGTTTGAGGTTTGTGCCCTTGAGTGGCAAACTCAAGAGGGTAAACAGCCTGAAGGATGCCGATAGCATGGATATTATGTAATGAGAAAAACATTGAGAATGGACTGCAAAGGGCGTTCAGATTGTTTAGCTTCAAAGAGCGTGATTATAATTTAAATTTTGTAAGTTTCGTAAGTCAAAAGACGAAACGTCTTTCATTTTATTTTTTAAAAACTGTAAAGTTATGCCTTAAATCTTTCATTTAACCATAAATTATACCTTAAACTTCTTTACTATCAATTTCACCCGGTTAACCGCTTAATCTTTAACACACTATTCGGGCAGATGAAAAAAATTCAGAAGGGAAACTCTCCACAAAGTTACCACAAATTTTGGCCTCCTGCCAGCCGTAATTGGTCGGGCTATCACGAAAGCAGCAAGCAGGCAACACCCCAAACTAAATTACACAATTAATAAGGGAAGCTAACAAACCAGAACACAAGCAAGCCAAGACAAACAACAAAAACAACGGCAGCACATAATAACCGCAACATTTAAGGCACAAATCTGCACTTAAGGAGCGAGCCAAAAAAGGAAAAGGGTTGGGGCTGATAGATATATAGGGTCTGCGGACTCCGAAGAAGTGAATGCGTGGGAAAGTAACCATATCCCGATTCTCCTGGCCAAAAACTCGACTCCCGACCGAAAGGCGATTCAAAAATTAATCAGGCGAACATAATGCAGCGAGCCAGATGAGGCAAAGAAATGCGATAAAAACCGAAATGCGAATCTTCAATGTATTGCCTGGAACATATATACATATATATATAGATAATGAAATACGAGGCTCCCGCAAGACCAAAACCAACCGCATCCAAACAAATGCTCCACCATGCTGCCTCACTCCCTGAATAAAGTTTCTCTTCATGCTCCCCTATATCCCCTTGATGGCCCATATTTTCATCCTGGCCCGAGGGCAGACAGGCCAAAATAATGGAGCCAATGGCCATGGAACAGAACAACAGAAACTACAGTAAAAGCACCCAAAAATGGTTAACAAAGTAAAACATAAACAAAATTCTCGGCGAATTCGTAATGCCCTAAAGGTATGGCAAAGCAATAAGGAAAATGGAATGGGTAATACATCAGTGTTCACTATGGATAATCGTACACTATAGCTCTTATATCCTTTCGAAATTTTAGGATAATAAGAAAGTTTTTAAGCATCTTGCTTAACTTGACCTTTTTACTAAATTACTTAAAGGTAATTTATTCAACAAGTACAAGTAATCGTTTGTCCTTTTAAGAGAGAATTCCTAGAATCAACTCAACAAGCTCTGGGTCATGTTCAAAGGATTCATTCCTCTTGACCAAATAGTTCAAGTACTCCTTGGCGAAAGGGTAGACGCAAACAAATAAAGTAACCAAGAGACCACGAAGACAAGGACGACAAGGAAAAAGCTCATAACCGAGGTCCTGGTGCTTGGCATTTTTGGGCAGCAGCTGCCAGACAATGCCACGCCCCCGCCTAAGCACATACATATGTGGGCTGATAGATGGGTGGTGGTGAAACTTAAGCATGGAGTGTATGTAGTAGGACGGTAGGGTGTAGGATCCCCAAGTGCAACGACTGCCCTGGGGGAGCTAGAAGAGAGGACAAGATATGGCCATAGACAAGTGCTCGACTTTCTTATCGGAAAGCGGTAGAGTTTTTGTTGTCCCGTTCCCTCGTTTGTTTTTTACAGCGCATGAAACTGCAAACATTTTCCCCAAGTCATCTCAAAAGTGGAAAATGGGCGAAAAATAAATAAAAATAATAAAACGGAAATCCTTTGCTCTTCAGCCAATACTCATTAGATTTGTGCAAATACTTTGCTGCCATTCCCTCGCTTACCCCTCCGCCGATCTACTAATGATGGCTTTTCCATTTCCCGCGCACATTTTCACTCTCAAAAGTAATTCCCTTGCTTACGCAATTTTTCATTTCGCGCTCGCTGCGCAAATAAATCAGAAAATTTCCAATTTTTTTAACGAGCCACCAACATTTTCGCATTGACTTTTGGCTGCTTTTCCTTTACTTTCATTTTTGGGAAAATTTTTGGTGCACTGGGCGTAACCGGCAATGTTAAAGCAAATAAATCGTTCAAGTTTTCGGTTTCCATTCCAATTGAATGTAATCAATGCCGAGAAATACACATTTCAAATATGTTTCCCGTTGCCCAATGTATTTCTTGGGTGACTTTGACCGATAAGTTGCTTCTTCTAAGCCAAAAGTGAGGGATTTAAATGCCAAGTGGAATTTACTAAGCTGACAGGAGTCATAAAATATTTACTGGTAGGTTTCACTTTTAGGTCACATGTTTGTAGTGCATCATTTAAAATACATTAGAAGGATTTTACACCTTTAAAAATGGCTTAAAATGAGAACTTAACATAACAAAATGTCAAATTAAATTTGAAAGTAAAGTGTAATAAACACATGGTAAGGATTCTGATTTGCAAATTTAGAAAAGGAAATTGTTGGTTCCTCATGCAGAGATAAGTGCTTCATTAGGTATCTGTTTCTGATTGGGTTCGTTTGTTGGTTACAACGTGTAACATCTACTTGGAGTTTTGTTCTCAATTGTCCCGTAGCCCCGCAATTTCCCCTGCTTATTGCCGCTTCTTGGCTTCATTCCAGTTGCCATGCCTGCAGAATATCTATGCTCCACATTCTTCTCCCGGCTCAGTGAATAATCCTGTTAACATCGTATTCATCCCCACCACTACCGTCTTCCGCATTTTGAATTCAATAATTTCCATTTGTTTGCTACATAGTTGCCCTGCTTGGCATGCCACCTACCCTCCCATTCTCAATTAGCTACCCCCATCCCATTGAGTTGCACGAAATGTGCTCTCATTTGGCCACAAATTAAACTAAACCCAC